TGACAATGACAGGGAGGGCTATGGTAGTAATGATGTCGGAGATTGATTCCCTCGACGGACAATGTACTGAGGTAGACATGGCAATGTGCGAGTTGTTTTGATATAGAATAGACTGTAATAATTTATTAATGTATCAAATGTTAATTGATAATTAGTTATCCCTCCTGATTTCAATCTCCTAATATCTTCCTCTCTTTAATTTAATTTAACATCGAGTTAATAAGGAGACATTTTGTAGAAAGCCTTGGGCTGAAACAATTATTCTGACAAGTAACGTGAACATTTTCCTCCATAGTCCTCTCTATTTCCTGGTCTTGCTATTATGTGGTATCCGTTTAGCTCCATTATAACATTTCTATAAGTCATGTCGCCTGTTAGGTGGGTGTTTGGCGACAGGAATAAGAAATCGATTGTTTATAATTAGTTTATTGTACTAGAATGTTAAAAACATCATGTGACGTTTGAAAATGTTTTGATTGAGAGGATTGAATAGATTGAATAATTAATCACTTCTTTTATCTCCATGCCTTAAAAACAATAGATGAAATATATTCTATTAGAATGCAGGTTTATATTTAATATGTTTTAATAATTTATGTCCATTGCTTAATGAAGTGTCAGGTCAATGCTACAGAAAGCACATCACATACAAGAAGGCATAGTTATTGTTTAAAGTCGGCAGAATAATGTCGTGGTCGAAGATATTCAGACCAGACTAATGTAAGGCCAAGGACAGAGTATAATAAAATGCGATTTATTCATAATTGAACTTAATTAATGTTCATAATTGAACCTAAGTTATGTTCTGAACTGTATATAAGTTATTTTCAGAACTGAATATAAATAATGTTAGAACTTAATATCAGTAATGTTCAGAAATAAATATAAGAAATCTCCATACTATAAAATTAATAATATAAGATATATAAAAACTGTAAAGTCATGTTTGCTGTTAGTAATTAGTTAAGAAAATCGTGTTCTCTTCAGTGACAGCACATTGAAGGTTTGCAATTCATGCTACTTTGGTTATTTCCTTCACAGTTCTAAAAGTGTTTCTGAATGGGAGGTACGAAGCTCAAAGGGCACCAATTTGGACATACACAATTACAGCGTTTAACTTGCTATTGGTAAGTAGCCTATTGAACGAATAGAGATATTGAATCAGATTGCACTTGTCATTGATTCGAATAGATTCACCTGTAGATATCAATAAATGACTATTATATAGATTAGTGGTAACAGATTTGTTAACCCCATATATCGTATTGAACTACCCAGATATATCGTATCTATAGCTATCTGTCACTATTAGCCCTTTTAATTACCCTGATAACACCCAACCACATGTGACCATGGTGTTTTTACTTCCGTTTCAAGGCAGCTCAGATGGCTCAGCTAATTTGACGCTTTGCTCGCTGGTCCGGCGTTTAATCACAGAGGATGACACGAACGATCTCATCGTTAGTGTGGGTCAATAAACAAAACTGTATGACGCTGTCCGTCATTTAAACCAAATTGAAGCAGAAAATTGGACGTAAATCGCCATATTTTATTTAATTTTTTTGTTACGCATCGAATGCGATTGGTCTGATACCTCATAAATTGTTTAGATTCTCATCTTGCGAGCTACCTTAACTGAAAAGTAAGGCGTAGAAAATTTCATTCAATGTTGTCTCGAGACAAAAACTATTTTAAATCACTCGAAAGATGTGGGTGAGTTGTCGGCTTGCACGTTTTATAATCCCATTTATATTCCCTATTCCATATAGAATTAATTAATTCTTACAATTTTTAAAGTTTGAACTAGTCTGTCTGGATAGATCAGATCGTTTAGATTTGGAATGATTGTCATGGGTCGAAAAGTTACGCCTTCTATTTTAATCTCATCAAACAACCAATAAATCTTATTGTATTAACAGATTAAACATTGATTCCTCACGCTTCCTATAAAAAATGATTAAAATGGCCAATGTTGGAATACAAACTGATTGATTATTGTTCAATAGATTCCAATCGATAATATTGTGTTATTTTTGGTCGAGTAATCACTCAACTGAGGAAGTTTACACGTTATCTTGAATGTCAAAGCATCATGAAAGATGTTTTAAGATATAATATTGATATATTATCACCGATCACAAACTGGCAATTTAAAGCCTGTATTATTAAGGCATAAATAACATTTCAATCGATCGTAAAACTGTAACATTAAAAAGGTGGTGAACATCACGTTTTCTTTAAATTGAACATAAACATAATATGTTACAGGCAGCCAGATAATAACAGAAATATATTTTGAATGTAACTGAAATTAGCGATATCTGTTACGTGCCATGGTGTTCACAAGTTTTATCTGCTTATCATATTTCGATTGATCTCAACACGGCATCAATGTGGATAAATCCTATTATTTATTCCATTCAACCAAACAAGTCCATGAATGGAACGAGACTGGAAAGACTTTAAATGACAGTGTTCCATCTGTGGCAAACCGCAAGCTCTTTACACACCGGATACCGGAAATTACACTAAAATGACCAAAATTAAACCTTTGGTTTTAGCCTCAAACTATAAGTCACATACATTTGTCGACAATAACAATAATTATGCATATTATCAACCAAATATAAGATTATGATATATTTTTTTTGTATAAACAGTATTTATTAACATAATAGAATTGGGGAACAGACTTTCGCCTATAGTACCCTCTCCTTAAGATTATGATATTGAATATATTACAATTATGCTTATCTTCTGGAACCCAGTGTCATGATGTCACTGGCGGCTTATTTAGAGAGTAAATAATGCTAATTTTGTACTTTTTTGTCTTTTTTTTTTCATTTTTATACGCCCACATTATAATGTGGTCGTATATTGTCGTCGCCCCTGTCCGTCGGTCCGTCCACAATTGACTTGTGAACACATTAAAGACTACAGTTTTCATCCAATTTAAATGAAAGTTGGTGTGAATATTTATAATGATGAGATCTTGGACAAGTTCAAATTTGGCTATCTTTCGATGACCGTTTTTGAGTTATTGCCCTTGACTTAGGAAAAACGCGTCAAAATTTGTGAACACAATAGAGACCATAATTATCATCCGATTTAAATGAAATTTGTTGTAATCAATTATAATAATGAAATCTTAGACAAGTTCGAAATTTGTCGATCTTTCGATGAACGATTTTGAGTTATCGCCCTTGAATTATGAAAAACACGTCAAAATTTGTTTGTGAACACAATAGACAGTCCGATTTAAATAAAATTTGGTATGATCTTTTAGAATGATGAGATCTTAGTCATGATTAAATTTGAAAATTTTTTGATCATTGGAATTTGAGTTATTGCCCCTGACTTAGTAAAAACGCATCAAAATTTGTTGGCTATAGAGATGACAGTTTATGTCAGAATTTTATTAAATGATGTGTATTTGTTTAAATCAACAATATCTTGCACAAATTAAGTTTTTGGTATGATTTGACACGGATAGGTGACCGCCATTGATATATTGAAAATGTATCAGGAAAGTGGGCGTATCTTGCTAAGCAACCACTTGTATTATCTTGAAGCGTTTTGTAAGTTCAGATCCATAAATATTAACGTGTACTTAGAGATACGGGTTTGTCGCATTGATTTGAAAGTAATCAATGAATCAAGTGTCAGTGGTGTTGTCTAGAATATACAATCTTAAGGATATAGGTTTGTGATATTGCACAGGTGCTGTTGTCTAGACTATAAATAGAATCTAAAGGATATTGGTTTTTGATATTGTATAGATGCTGTTGTCTAGAATATAAATACAATCTAAAGGATATAGGTTTGTGATATTGCACAGGTGCTGTTTTCTAGACTATAAATACAATCTAAAGGATATAGGTTTGTGATATTGCACAGGTGCTGTTGTCTAGACTATAAATACAATCTAAAGGATATAGGTTTGTGATATTATATAGGTGCTGTTGTCTAGAATATAAATACAATCTAAAGGATATAGGTTTGTGATATTGCACAGGTGCTGTTTTCTAGACTATAAATACAATCTAAAGGATATAGGTTTGTGATATTGCACAGGTGCTG